GCCGGGCTGGGGACGCGCAGCCTGGTCGGCCACTGCGCCCTGCCCAGAACCCCTCAAACCCGAGCCCCCCCCACTCCTCCATCCCGGGCCACCCCACAGCTCTGCGCTGGGCTGAAAAGTTAGGGGATCCCCTAGCTGGAGGCGGCGGACCCGAGTGAGGACCGCGGGAGGCGCAGGCAGCGCCGGGAGCGCGCAGATCCGCACTGGACATGGAAGGTTCCAGGTCCAAACCCGGGGCCCCGGGATGTTTTCCCGCCCAACATTGAAGCGAGGCCGGGGATGGGGTCCGCGGGGATCCCTGGGGGTCTCCCCCCAACACCACATCGAGTCCTCTGGCGGGGTGCCCGCGGCCCCTGGTGGACGAGGCCGGAGCTGCAGCACTCAAGTTGGCCAGTGTGTTTTCTACCTGGGGGAAACTGAGGCCCAGCTGTTGAGGGCGTTTTTTGTTTCAGTGCTATGCCTGGGCCTTGAACTCAGGGCCTGGGTGCCGCTGCTGTTCCTGAGCTTGTTGTGCGCAAGGCTGGCGCTCTACCACTTGAGTGAAAGCTCTACTTCCAGCTTTTTGGTGGGTCATTGGAGATTAAGAATCCCATAGACTTTCTCCCTAGGCTGGCCTCGAATCCTGATCCTCAGATCTCAGACTCCTGAGTAGCTAGGGTTACAGGTGTGAGCCACCGGTGTCTGGCTCTATAGCCATTGTAGAAATAAACTGACAGGGGTCATCCTACCGCTCAGTGACCTCAGGGGAAATGACACCCAGGGTGGCTGGGGGTTCCTTAGATGGTTCCTAGAAGTCAAGTCAGTGGGTAGAGGGAGGACAGAAAGAAATGTTCTATTTTTGTAAAAGAAAAAAACTCATCCCATCATTTGGGAGGCTGTGGTAGGAGGCTGAGGAGTTAGAGGCCCAGTTGGCCTGTATAGTGAGACCCTGTCTCAAGGAAAAAATGTACATAGGCTGGGAATGTGGCTTCGTGGTAGAGTGCTTGCCTTACATGCATGAAGCCATGGGTTCAATTCCTCAGCACCACATAAACAGAAAAAGCCGGAAGTGGTGCTGTGGCTCTAGCTAGGTGCTGTGGTGCTAACCTTGAGCAAAAGAACCTCAGGGACAGTGCCCAGGCCCTGAGTTCAAGTCCCAGAACCGGCAAAAAGAAAAGAAAAAACGTACAGAAATTCTCCAACAAGAAGTAAAATGAGCTGGATGCCACCAGTGGTTCATGCCTGATCCTAACTCCTCAGGAGGCTGAGGTCTGAGTGAGGATCGTGGTTCACAGATGCTCTAGGCAGAAAAGCCCTCAAGACTTTTATCTCCAATTAGCACCAAAAAGCCAGAAGTGGAGTTTTAGCCCAAGCCGTAGAACACAAGCCTTGAGCAAAACAGCTCAGGGACGGTGTCCAGTTCAAATCCCAGGACAGACAGACAGACACAGCCTATACAATTACAATCTTGGAGTATGACAAATCTCTAAGGCAACAAGCCAAGGGCAAAAGTCACTGGATAGACTGATAAATAGGTGGTAATAAATCCTAAGAACTTCTAAATAAAATTGCAATCAAAGTATAAACAAGAGGCTCCTTATATTGGCAATGTATAGAATTGACAACAAAGAATAGGAATCAAAATTTACTCCCATGAATTAACAATAATAATAATAAAGTCTCTCAACCTTTGCTTTGCTTATTTGTTTGGGGAGGGAAAAATCGTTATATTGAATGGCCTTTTTTTTTAATGGGCAAAGGAAATGAGCAAGCCACTCACAGAACGCAAAATATTTGTGGCCATTAATCTCACACACACAAAAAAAGGCGTTTTATTTCCTTAGTAATCCGGGCTGCAAATGGGAACACTGTGATACTATCATCTCAGGAAATGACTAATTCTAACTCATCCACCGGGTCGGCTCGGATGTCCCTTCCTCCGAGAAGCCTTTCCTGACTCCCGGGCTGGGTCCTGCGCTCCCAGCCCCGCCTCGGGGCGGAGCCTTCCGCCAGGGCCCGCCCACGCGCGGGTCGTCATGGAAACGCGTCTATCAGTTCCTGGGCTGTGTCACTCAGCAGGTGACGCTGGGTGGTGCTGGCCGCGGGACTTCAGCCAAGTCCATCCGTTCCCCACAGTAGGAGGAGTGGGGGAGATCTAATCTGATCTGATTTCTCTACTGAGCCCTGACTGGAGTCGGAGAGCACAGCAAGGGCTCCACAGAGCTCTGGTACCAAATCATTTTTTGATATTGGGGACCGTCAATCTTCTATACTCTCTCAACCTCCACGGTCCTCCAGGAGCATAGAGAGCAGCTCCTCTCTAGGCTCCACTCTCCCTAGGAGAGCAACGAGACGGGCCGGGGGGGGCAGAGAGGCCGGAAGTGCGACGGGTCAGGCCGCGCTGTCGGCTGCACGTCTTGATACCCTCTCCGCAGTCTTTTTATTCCAGGCCTGGGGTCGAGTAGGTGAGTCCTCCACGTTTGGTGACCCTCCCCCCCACACACACACAATGTAGGAGTTGAGTGGAGCGGAGGGTGGAGACTGCAATTGGCAGGGTGAAGATGGCGATTGGCAGCCACCGTACCCAATCAGTGCAGTGTGTGAGGGTCCATCAAGTGCGCGCTTTGGGGGCGGGCCTAACGGAACCCACGGGCTGCGATGGGCGGGGCGGATCGGCATGTGGACCAATGAGAGTCGTGGACAGCAGAAGGAGGCGTGTTCACTGGAGTCGTGAAGCAGTAGAACGAGGGGATGATTTTGGCGGGATGTCTGGGTGTGTGAACCGGCTGGGAGGATGCTAATACAAACGCTGGTACCTCAACCGCTCTGTGCCACCATGTTTCCCCACCAGGCCTCAGATGGACCCTGGAAAGGGAGAAGAGGGGGCACCACCTCCCGACGGGCCGCCCACCAGGAAGAAATTTGTCATCCCGTTGGACGAGGGCGAAGTCCCTCCCGTAGGGGTAGGGCGAAGGCTGCAGGGTCGGGGGTGGCTAGCATGCTGCCAGGAAGAGCAGGAAGGGGATACCATTGGGGGGGCACGGTGTGGGTTCCCCTGGAAAATCAACCTTTGTCCAACCCCAGGACGGTTCAAAGTGGCGTCAAGGCAGAGTCCCCCCAAACTACTAAAGATAGAGCAGCTACACTTTGAAAAAAATACTTAGAGTATTAATTAATGTGGGAGGGGGTAGCAGTACTGGGGCTTGATCTCAGGGTCAGGTTGTTGTCCTTGAGCTTTTTTTTTTTTTGTCGGTCGTGGGGCCTGAACTCTGGGCTTGGGTGCTGTCCCTGCACTCTTCAGCTCAAGGCGAGCACTCTACCACTTGAGCCACAGCGCCTCTTCCAGTTTTCTAGGGATAATTGGAGATAAGAGGGTCACTGAGTTTCCTGCCTGGGCTGGCTTTGAATTATGATGAGCCTCCAGCACCTGGCTTGTCCTTGACCTTTTCCACCCAATGTTGGTGCTCTGCCACTTGAGCTGCAGCTCCACTTCTGGCCTTTTGCTGGTTAACTACAGAGAAGAGTCTCACAGACTTTCCTGCCTAGGCTGGATTCAAACTGCAGTCCTCGGATCTCAGCCTCCTGAGTACCTAGGAATTCAGGCATGAATCACAGGCTCCAGGACCCCCCTACAATCCCTCTCTTTCTCTCTATAGGCCAAGCCTTTATTCAGATCCACACGGAGCCCATCCACCACTGTGACTTCTGCCCAGGCAGCCCCTCAGACTTATGCAGAGTATGCCATTTCTGGCCCTCCAGTAGGGGCTGGGACCACTAACCCTGTTGGAACAGAACCACCAACACGAGAGACCCCCAACCAGACCCTGAAACCAGGAACAAAATCTAACAGCATCATTGTGAGCCCCCGGCAGGTGAGGGGGGACAGCGCTTTGGGGCCACAGGAGGGAAGCCCTGCAGGCTGGGAGACAGTTGAAGGAGATGTGAGTTCTACCCAGTACTTCCCTCCATCCCTTTCTAGATGGGTTGTTGATTCTGGAGAAAGAATGGTAGAAAATTAGGTGGCATCTCTACCCCTGATTATGCGTTGAGGTCAGGGGGAGGGAGGGGCAGTGTATGAAGTCACATTAGTACTAAGCATGGGAGAAGAGTCCAATGTTGTCAACCACAGAGAAATGGACATAAAAAAATCCTCTTGGGGCAGGCGCTGGGGGCTCATGCCTGTAATCACAGCTATTCGGGAGGCTGAGGTCTGAGGATGGTAGTTTGAAGCTATCCTAGGCAGGAAAATCCATGAGACTCTTACTTCCAATTAACCCACAGAATACTGAAAGTAGTGCTGTGGTTCCAAGTGGTAGAGCACTAATCTTGAGTGAAAAGGCTCAAGGATAGTACCCAGGCCCTGAGTTCAAGCCTCACAACCAACAAAAACAAGAAAAAAAAAGTCCTTTTGGACCCGATATGGTAGTTCATGTCTGTAATCACAACTACTCAGTGAGGTAGAAGGATGGAGAGAACCAGGCCAGCCCTGGCAAAGTTATCATGACCATGACTCAAAAGCTAAATACAACTGGGCTTGGTGATGCATGCCTGAAAGTCTCAGTGATGTGGGATTCATGGGTAGGAGGATCTCTGAGGCTGGCTGGGGAAAAGTTAGTGGGATCCTGCTTCAAAAGTCTCAGGATGCTGCAGGCAGCATAGTTGGTGACATCATTGACCACTGTTGGCAGCTCCCGATTTGGCTCATCCCCTCCCAGAGGTGGGGCTGGCAAGGACAGTTCCCATCCCCATCCATGCCCAGCGCCCCATCAAGGCCACCAGGAGCCATCAAGAACACCCTGGGCTGGGGATGTGGCTTAGTGGTAGAGTTCTTGCCCAGCATGCACGAAGCCCTGGGTTTGATTCCTCAGTACCACATAAACAGAAAAAGCTGGAAATGGCAATATGACTCAAGTGGTAGAGTGCTAGCCTTGAGCACAGGAAGCTCAGGGACAGTGCCCAGGCCCTGAGTTTAAGCCCCAGGACTGACAAAAAACAAAACAAAACAACACCCACACACACACACCAAAAAAACTCCCAACACCCTATAAGGAGGTGTTAGGTTGCTTCCATCTGGGACCAAAGGCCTGAGCTGTTCTCTGCTCTAGATGTTATCTAACCTCAGGAAATTCCCAAGTTCTCAGGTGCTTTGTCTCCTAGAACAGTGTCAAAGATCAAATACCAGAACAGAAAGTTCTCCTAAGGTCACACCCCTGTGTACAAAGGTTTCAGTAGATCTGTTTGTTTTTCTTTTTGGCTGGTCCTGGGGCCTGAACTCTGGGCCTGGGCACTGTCCCTCAGCTCTTCAGCTCAAGGCTAGCGCTCTACCACTTGAGCCACAGCGCCACTTTAGACTTTTTTCTGTGTCTGTGATGCTGACGAATCGAACCCAGGGCTGCATGAATGCCAGGCAAGCACTATACCACTGAGTCACATTCCCGGGCTGGGATGTCTGTTTTCATTTTAAGACAATGTTTTACTGCGTAGCCCAGGCTGGTTTTGAACTCATGATCCTTTTGCCTCCTGTCCAGTGCTGGGATTACAAGAATATGCTCTCACATTTAGCAAACTTCGTCTCTTGAACCTGGGGCAGAGATATCACAGAATGGCAATGAGTGTAGATGTCAGCTGGTCTTTGTCAGTGCTGTGTCACACACAGTAGGTGCTCAATGCTTACTGAGTGGATGACAACTTGACTTGCCTGAAGATTTTAAGTCTTGGGTTACAGAGAATGTTCTGGGTACAGCCCAAGGGGAATTTGGAGAGAGCAGCGTTTCGAGCAGAGGCAGCTGGGGGTGAGGGTGTGAGGGTGTGTGTCACAGGCCATGGATGGAGCCACAGCAGGGCTTAGAGCTTAGGGGAGGAGCAGGCTGTCTTTTAGAAACAGCTTTCTGGCTGTCACTTGGGCCACTCTGTGACTGTGGAGGAGAGGCAGGAGGGTCGGAAGTACCACGTTTGGGAGTTGGAGGGGAGAGACGCGTGTGGGCCAAGCCGGGCTCTCTGGACAGTGTGGCATGCCCGGATGGAGCAGGGGGAGGAGTGGATGTGCATGATGGAGGGCCCCATCTGCTGGGCCCAGCAGATGGCAGGACACACTGGGTTTGGGGGTAGAGACCAAGCTGGACTCCATGGTAAAAGTCTAGGGCTGGAGGGATGAGAAGACTTGGGTTGGAACACCTAGAACATTCTAGAGGAGGAAAAGGCATAGCAAGAAGAGACAAGCTGAAAGAGGCAGGTGCTAAGTGGGTGGAGGGGGAGGAGGGGTGGGCTGGGGGGGAATGGCTGTCCTAGCCAAGGTGCCAGCGTCATGCTAACTGCTGCTTGGGCCCTTCTTCCACAGAGGGGCAACCCGGTGCTCAAGTTCGTGCGCAGTGTGCCCTGGGAATTCGGTGACGCCACCCCCGACTATGTGCTGGGCCAGAGCACCTGCGCCCTCTTCCTCAGGTGAGTGCTGGGGCGCTGCCCATCCTTCAGGAAGGCCTCCACTGCAGGGTCCTAGGCTCTGCCTGGCAGTGGGGGCACAAAGGGGCCTGAAAGGGGTCCCAAGGAGACCGAGACTCCCACCCACTGCCCCTGTCTCCCCCTATCCCACCAGCCTCCGCTACCACAACCTCCACCCTGACTACATCCACCAGCGGCTGCAGAGCCTGGGGAAGAGCTTCGAGCTGCGCGTGCTGCTGGTCCAGGTGGATGTGGTAAGTAGTCCTCTGCCTCTGCTGGCTTCAAGCCAGCAGAGTGGGGCCAGCAGAGTGCCAGCAGAGTGGGGGGCGGGGGGGGGAGACTATAGCCCTGTATTGGCCTGGAGGCCCCCTGAGAAAAGCTCAGCCATTGTTCACACCTCACATGGACCCAACTTACCCTGAACCAGCCAGGATTGGTCTGGTAGTCACAGATCCTCCTTGGCCACACCCTTTTTCCACAAGTCCCCCTATGTACACATTCCTTCCTCCTAACCTAGGGTCTCCTGCAGGCTAACCAAACATTCTTTTTTTTTTTTTTGTCCAGTTGTGGGGCCTGAACTTTGGGCCTGGGTGCTGTCCCTCAGCTCTTCAGCTCAAGGCTAGTGCTCTACCACTTGAGCCACAGCGCCACTTCTGGCTTTTTTCTTTTTGCTTATGTGGTGCTGAGGAATTGAACCCAGGGCCTCAGGCATGCATGGCAAGTGCTCTTCCACTGAGCCACCTTCCCAGCCCCTAACAAAACATTCTTCATTCTTACTCCCTTCAGCCATGCTACAGGCTCGAAGATTTCTTTTTTGTCGGTTGTGGGGTTTGAACTCTGGGCCTGGGTGCTGTCCCTCAGCTCTTCAGCTCAAAGCGAGCACTCTACCACTTGAGCCACAGTGCCACTTCTGGTTTTCTGGGGGTTTACTGGAGATAAGAGTCTCCTGGAGTTTCCTGCCTGGGCTGGCTTTGAACCATGATCCTCAGATCTCAGCTTCCTGAGTAGCTAGGATTATAGGCGTGAGCCACTGGAGCCCAGCAGATTTTTTTTTTTTCTGGTTGGTCATGGGGCTTGAACTCTGGGCCTGGCACTGTCCCTCAGTTCTTCAGCTCAAGGTGAACATTCTACCACTTGAGCTACAGTACCACTTCCGGTTTTCTGGTGGTTTATTGGAGATACGAGTTTCATGGACTTTCCTGCCTGAGCTGACTTTGAATGGTGATCCTCAGATCTCAGCCTCTTGAGTAGCTAGGATTCCAGGCGTAAGGCACCAGTGCCTGGCAAGATAGTTTTTTGTATGTGTGGGTGTGCTGGTCCTGGAGCTTGAATTCAGGGCCTGCACTGTCATGAACTTCTTTTGCTCAAGGCTGGCAGTTTACCAATTGTGCCACAGCTCCATTTTTGGCTTTTTTGGTTGTTTAATGGATAGTCTCATGGTTTTTCCTGCCTGGACTGGCTTTGAACCATGATCCTCAGAACTCAGCCTCTTGAATAGCTAGGATTACAAGGCTTGGGCTGCTGGCGCTCACCTAATCTCAAATTTTTATTTTTTTTGCCAGTTCTGGTGCTTGAACTCAGGGCCTGGGCACTGTCCCAGAGCCCCTTTTGCTCAAGGCTAGCACTCTACCACTTGAGCCACAGGGCCACTTTTGGCCTTTTCTGTATATGTGGTACTAAAGAATTAAACCCAGGGCTTCATGCATGCTAGGCAAGCACTCTACCACTAAGCCACATTCCAGTCTCTGAAATATTATTTTGATTACTATTATTTTTTGTGCTGGAACTGGACTGGGAGTTTTTTCTCACTCAAGGCCCTGCTGTCACTGCTGGGCCTTGTACTTCCCACCACAGGCTGGCTTTGGCCAGCACCCCAAACTCTATTGTTTTCAGACTGTAAGTCCTCATATTGTGACAGGTCTCTAATTCTGATCTTCTCTTCTAGAAAGATCCTCAGCAGGCCCTCAAAGAGCTGGCTAAAATGTGCATCCTGGCAGACTGCACACTGATCCTCGCTTGGAGGTGAGATTGCACCCCTCCCCCACCAATTCAGACCCGCCCTCCAGAGCAGCTGGAGAGCTCTCTCTGGGAGCCTGGGCCAGGCCCTGCCTCTCTGGGCCTCAGCATTCTCATCTGAGAAGTGGACACTTTATAACCTGCCTTTTTTTTTTTTTGTCCATCATGGGGCTTGAACTCTAGGCCTGGGCGCTGTACCGTTTATTGGAGCTAAGAGTCTCACGGGCTGGCTTTGAACCACGATCCTCAGATCTCAGCCTCCTGAGTAGCTAGGATGACAGGCGTGAGCCACCAGCTCCTGGCTATAGCCAGTCTTTTTTAGAGGCTTACATCAGAAAAGTAGGTACCAGACATCAAGTTTTCAAGCCTGTTCAGGGTTTAGATATAAAATCTGACTGGAGGGCCTGGGAAGGTGGCTCAGTGGTAGAGTGCTTGCCTTGCATGCATGAGACCCTGAGTTCCATTCCTCAGCACCACATAAGCAGAAGAAGCTGGAAGTGGTGCTGTGGCTCAAGTGGTAGAGCGCTAGCCTTGAGCTGAAGAGCTGAGGGACAGCGCCCAGGCCCAGAGTTCAAGCCCCATGACTGACCAAAAAAAAAAAAAAATCTGACTGGAGAACTAATTCCATATATATATTTTTTTTTTTCCCCCTATAGTAGGACTGGGGTTTGAACTGTGTCTTGCCCTACGGAGGACCACAGCTTTACACCTTGCTTGCACTCCTTGAGATAGCATGGATCTGAACTATAGTCCTCCTATTTTCACTTCCTACTGTAGTTATTCTAACATATGCACCACCATATCCTTCTACTGGGATGAAGTCTCATGAAATTTTGAGCCTGGGTTGGCTGATCTCAGCCTCCCAAGTAGCTAGGGTGACAGGTGTGGACCACCATGCTCACTGTTGGTTGAGAAGTTCTGCAAACTGTTTGCCTTTGGCAGGCCTCAAACCTGTCTTCTTGATCTCATCCTTCCAAATAGAAGGCTACCATTTCTCTATTTTGTTTGGTCGTGGGGCTTGAGTTCAGTGCCTGGGCACTGTCCCTGAGATCTTTCACTCAGGGCTAGTTTATCACCTTGAGCCACAGTTCCACTTCCAGTTTTCTGGTGATTAATTGGAGATAAGAGTTTCATATACTTTCCTGCCCAGGCTGTGTTTGAACTGCCATCCTTAGATCTCAGCCTCCTATGTAGCTAAGATTACAAGTGTGAGCCACTAGCCCCCGGTGGAAATTAGCGTTTCTTCACAGGCTTTGAACAACCAGGCTCTGACCACTGACCGAACAGTGACCTGTATCATCTGAGGCCCACAGAAATCAAATGGCTAGCCCAGGGTCACCCAATCAAGAAGCAGGGCCTGACTCCCAGGGTTTGGGCTCCTAAGCCCTACTTTGAGCCAGAAAAGAAGTAGCCTACTGGTTTAGTGAGGTCTGGAGTTCCAGGCCAGCCCTGGGGAAAACCCAAGGGTGAAGATCCACCCAGCAGGGACTCAGTGAACGTTGGAGTTTGCAGTTGTCACCTCAGCTAGCACTGCATAATGAAGGGAAGAATCTAGACTGTGACAGCTCTTCCCTCTCGTGTCCTGTCATCCCAGCCCCGAGGAAGCTGGACGATATCTGGAGACCTACAAGGCTTATGAGCAGAAGCCACCAGACCTCCTGATGGAGAAGCTGGAGCAGAACTTCCTGTCCCGGGTAAGACCCCTCCCGTCCTTCCCTCCTCGTTCCTGAACACCTGACCCTAACTGCTTGCTGACACTTTCATTGCAGTTTGCCTTCATTAGGGTCTCATTCTATATGGTGTGAGGAAGGGAGTTTTTGAGACCTTGAACTTTGATCCTTCCAATCTCAGCCTCTCGTGTAGCTTGGGATCACAGACATATTCCATTACAAACAGCCATGAGGCTAGAAAGATCTTTCAAACATTTCTGCCAGGCTGGCTCAAACTGTGGTCTGTGTGTCTTCAGCTTCTCCAAAAGGCAGGTTTATCGGCATGAGCTGGCAACATATTACATCAATGTTGCTGGCTTGTTTTTTCCTGGTTATTTATTTAGCCAGACCTGGGGCTTGAACTCTGGGCTTGGAAACTGTCCTTGAACTCCTTTTGCTCAAGGCTAGCACTCTACCACTTGAGCCACAGTGCTACTTCTGGCTTTTTCTGGTTGTTAATTGGAGATGAGTCTTAAGAACTTTCCTGCTCAGGCTGGCTTTGAACCATAATCCTTAGATCTCAGCCTCCTGAATAGGTAGGATTACAGCTGTGAGCCACCAGTGCCCAGATGATTTTTTTTTTTTTTTTGTCGGTTGTGGGGCTTGAACTCTGAGCTTGGGTGCTATCCCTGCACTCTTCAGCTAAAGAAGAGCGCTCTACAACTTGAGCCACAGCACCACTTCTGGTTTTCTAGTGGTTTGAGATAAGAGTCTCATGGAGTTTCCTGCCTGGGCTGGCTTTGAACCGTGATGCTCTGATCTCAGCCTCCTGAGTAGCTAGGATTATAGGCGTGAGCCACTGGCGCCCAGCCCTGATTAATTTTTTGTCTCCTCCCCTTTCCAGGCTACTGAATGTCTGACCACCGTGAAGTCGGTCAACAGGACAGACAGCCAGACTCTACTCGCCACTTTTGGAGTAAGCATCTCTCCCTCAGCAGTTCTCAGAAGGCCCTTCTCTGTCTCCTGCTCCCACCCCCACCCTTCCTGCCTGGCCACAGCTGCCCCCTCTCAGGACTCTCAGGCTCCTCCCTGGCCAGGCCCAGCACAGCCCCTAACCCGTCTCTACCTCCTGCAGTCTCTGGAACAGCTCATTGCTGCTTCGAGGGAAGACCTGGCTTTGTGCCCTGGCCTGGGCCCCCAGAAGGTAAGAACTCTGGGTAAAGGTCAGACAGGCTGGGGTAGCAGTGGGACCTAAATGAGCAGGGACTCAGACACCAAGGTTTCAAAGTTCGAGGAAAGCCCACATACACAACCCCTCACTCCGAGTTGTTGGCCACAGTAGGAGTGAATGAATCAAAGGTCTTGTCCTCGGTAGGCAAGCCACATTCTGAACCTTTTTGTTTTTACTAAGATTGCATCTTGCTACCTTTGCCCACACTTAACTCAAGGTAGAAGTTCTCCCCCCACCTCCAGATGAGCTGGGATTACAGGCGAGTACTACTGCCTATACCATCCATACACTTCACTCTCTTACTAACGGGGGAACAGGAAACCTGAGAGGCTGACAGCCAGCCCCACTTCAGTACTGGATAGAATCCACATTGTCATCTTCTCTCCCACATCCCAGAGCTCCTGGAAACTAGTGGGGGAAAAAACAAACCCATTCTGGATGCAGTAAACAAATGGCTTCTTTAATGCTGGGTTCATTTCTCCCTGTCCCAGGCGCGGAGGCTCTTTGACGTTCTTCACGAGCCCTTCCTGAAAGTACCCCCATGACTGTGGCTGCTGGCGACCCAAGGTCATAATAAAGCATTTTCTAGGTGCTGGCTGGCGTTCCGTGGCTTCCCCTGAGGTCTCCTGGGGTGCTGTCTTTGAAGCCAGTACCTCACTTCCCTTCTTTCTCAGTGGATCGTGGAGCTGCCCTGCCTCAGGCCCGCGCTCACCGGTGGCAGACTGGACATTAGACAGTCCTGTCAGTCGCTTTGTGCTCTCTGTCCTTCTTCTTCTTTTTCTTGAGGGGGGCTACAGCTGCCTGGGGCTCAGGATCACCAGCCTCCACTGTCACATTTTGTGGTTTTTCTTTCTTCTTTTTCTTGGGGGACACCAGAGTTGTCCCAGCCTCTAGTTCCACTTCCTCTGGGAATCCAGGGAGCCCCAAAGGCGCCACCTCTGGCTCAGTTCCCTCAGTCTCTGGCTCCATCATGGCAGTCTGCCTCTTTCCTTTCTTGGTCTTCTTTCTTGGGGGAGACAGGATGGCTTCCTCCTGTGCCTCCACTTTCAGTGGCTGAGAATCAACCAGAGCCACTGCCCCCTCCATCCCTGGGGTCCCCTTGGGCCTCTTTCTCTTCTTGGTGGGGGGCAGGGCTGCCTCTTGGGGAGGCTCAGTTTTAACAAATTTCAAATCTGACAGCTTTTCTTCTGGCTCTGCCATTTCTGCCTCTGGGGGCCTCTTCTTGGTGGTGCGTGGGCCCAGCCCTCCTGGCAGCCCTGGCACCTCCATTTCTGACACTAGCACCTTCACTTTATGCTCCAGCACCTCCACTGCAGGCTCCATCATCTCTGGCTGTTGCTTTTTCTTCTTCTTCTTCCTCCCTACATCTGTTTCTAGGGCCGACCCGGCCATGCCCACCTCTAGGGTCCCATGGCCATTCACAGCCTCTAGAGTAGCAGCAGCCTCTGCCATCTGCCTCCTCTTCTTCCTCTTCTTCTCCAAAGTAGGTGACTTGGGTGTCAAAGCTGAACCAGGCCCAGTGACTGGGGGGTTACCTCCAAAAGCACAGAACCGAGGTCTCAGGCCAGGGGGGATTTGTGGTGGGGGGCTCGCAAGAATAGGCTGCACAGGAGTTCCTGGCAAGGATTCTTGGTGACTCTCGATGATCCTGAGGCTGCCATGGGGGGCAGGAGCACAGGTGAGTTCACCTCCTGTTGCTATGCAGGGAGCAAGCAGGGTCGCTGCTGGGGAGTCACTGCTGCTGAGGACATGATAGCGGTGCCGCTGGCCCCCCAACTTGCCCTTTACAATCCGGGAGCCTGAGAGAGGCACCCGCCGTCCATCAAGGCTGGGAGAAGGAAAAGGGAGGGCAGAGGCTAGGTCAGACAGGAAATAGTGGTATTTCTAGGTTGCTCAGAAATGCCCCCTCTTAAGAGGGGTCCCAGCGGCTTAAAGCTGTAATCCTAGCTACTCCGGAGGCTGAGATCTGAGACTCATGGTTCAAAGCCAGCTCAGGCAGGAAAGTCCCACCGGCGAGATTCGTATCTCTAATTAAACAGCCATCTAAGCGTAACCCCTCCGCACAGCATCTTTACAAAGAAACAAGATTTTTTTTTTAAAGATAGCCAAAACCCGGAAGTGGGGCTGTGGCTCAAGTGGTAGAGCGCCGCCTCGTGTGAAAAAAAAACTTAAGAGAAAAACTTAAGGGGCAACACCCAAACCCCGAGTTCAAGGCGCAGTACCAGCCCAATGAAAAAGAAAACGAGCACAACTACTCCCCGACAACCCGGTCGGTTCCGCTTCGAGCGGAGCTAGCAGGAGGCCGCTCACCTGTGGGGAACGAAGTCTGCCGGGGCCTGGATGAGCCACAGCTCCGCGTCCGGGCCGGCCAGCGTCTCCAGGGAGAAACGAGGGGGCTCCGAGGCTGGGGGCGTCGCGGTGAAGTTGGGGGGACAAGAGAACCGAGCCGCCCCTGCGGAAGAAGGGGAGCCGGAGCCTGAGGCCGCTAACGGTCCACGGGTTCCCGCTCCAGGATCGCTCCCGCAGCCCCGGGAGCGCCCGCCGCCCCCGCCCCGGTCCCAGCTCCCGTCCCCCTCCCGCTCGCGGGCCGCCTCTCTTTCCGGGGAGCCCCCACGCACCGCCCCCGTCCCCCCCACCCTCGCCGACTCGCCCGCTCACCCCCGGACGGGGGCGCCGCCATCCCCGCCGTCCCGGGACTCGCGCCCGGCGCACGCCGCACGCCGCAGCCTAGAGGCTTACATCAGAAAAGTAGGTACCAGACATCAAGTTTTCAAGCCTGTTCAGGGTTTAGATATAAAATCTGACTGGAGGGCCTGGGAAGGTGGCTCAGTGG